ATTTAAAAAAAGCTTTTTTTTCTTTGCAGTTACCCTTTAATGGTAAACCTGTGCCTGCTAATGACGTAAAGGAGTCACTGAAGGAAATAGCCCTCTTTTGTCCCTAAAATATCCCCCCGAGAAAAAAGCCTCCTGCACGGCGGTGCTGCGCTCCAGTATACTGGTGCTCCACTTAAAGGGGCCCTGCAATCATATTTAAGCGTCTACATTTTTTGCGGTTTCCACGTCTCTTGGGGTTCGGGCAAGCCAGCGGGCACGGAGAGAGTAACTAAATATCAGTGCGTCGTATTTTAACCGGACGACGCGGAAACCTCCTCCACCGACGAGGGCGACCCGCGGTACCGAAAGCGCGCAAAATGTGACGTCTTTGGTCCTGGGCTTACTCCTGGTCAGAGCCGTTAAAAGCTTCTTTTTAGTCAAAATACAAAATATAAGTTGCGCGAACCGTTTCAATTACTTAGGAAAGTAGTTTTTGTTCAGTATTTTAGATCAGAAAAGAAACAAATGCAGTTTATAAAGTATGAAAACAAGAAATCCCCCACCAAGCGGTGGAAAAGGCGGCGCACACTAGAAAGGATTAGTGGGATCAGGCGCCGACATGGAAAGGTCCCGGATGTACGTGGCGGCGCTGCGGTCGTATCAACAGGAGGATCCGACCTGCTTCGAGCGTTCCGAAGGCCTTTGGCAAGAAGCTTTGTCTTGCAATTCGGCCGTTTCGCGGTATGGCAGCGCGAAGTGGCTCCCATTCTAAACTGATCTTTGCCCCGTGTTTGCTGTCGTTTGTGTTCAATAAAGTGCCATGCCGAATTAGTGTTTAATCGCGCAGCAAATGCAATGAGAGCCGCTCTGGCTGCCCGCTGCATACAGCCTATCCAGAACATGCTTTAGTGGCGCCCTCTCGCGCCGTCGGCATGGGGTGCACAGCCGTGAGCGCTCGCGATGAGCCCACTACCCCTCCTCTAGTTCACGGCCGCTCAGGCAACCAAGGACGTCATGAGGGAGGTAATTTTTTGCTTGTTTTTGTAATTTTAATTTGCCTATAACTTTTAAAATAAAGCGAATTTTGAGAAAATAAAAGTTCCACTACGTTACTACGTTCAGTGCGCTCAGGTTCGGTGCAAATTAAAAACCAGTAAAAAGTCCTTGCAGGGCCCCTTTAAGAAAGGACACTACCCGGAAGGGTCAACTTTTGAACCTTTGGCTTACTATGAATAAAAATTACAGTATATAGACCATTCCATTTAGCGCTCTCTGGGCGGCACCATTTTGTTCGACAGCAGCGCCCTCTCCATATATCCGGGAAATTCAGCGGGTTCGGTGGGGTAAAACGAGAGAGAGGGCACGCGCCCGACTCCGCTAGCAGATGACAAAATGGGAGGTTGCCATTCTCCATCTTTGGGCTGTATCGGCGGGCTGTACGGATCATCAAACTCTCGCTCGTGGCTGCCGTTGTGAAGTGGTTCGCGTTCTTAGAATAGTTATGGCTACTCCAAAATCAGCCTAGAGCTCTAAATAACAGTTGAGTCAGCCGGCAGTACTACCCTCAACTACTGCGTGTATTGCGGCAAGAGAGCACGTATTTATTTATTATTTCAGACATCCACTCATGGTCGCTAAAGGCCTACACCAGTACGAACTTTGTATAGTAAAAAAGGTACAGCCAGTGGATGCACTTTTTGCCGGAGAGACCGGCCAGTCTGACACAGTTTTCCCTATTTATTTTTTTTTTATTTGCATGCAGATAACAGAGCAGTTGGACTCTGTTAGTCTTTTTTATCTAGCATAGTAATACACAATAACTGGCATACAAAAATCTGCGCATCTACGCATCTACGCTTGAAATTCCCAAAATGACGCAATCTCAAACAGAGTTTGTACGCCAGCCGGATGCTAGGTACTGCCCACTCGGCGGAGCAGACGACATGCGGGCGAGAGGGGGAGGGCATTTTTTTTTCTCTTTTTACTCTCTCTGCTATGACCCTAATGGAACGGTCCATACTGGCAGTTGCAAGGCAGAATGCAGCGCAGTTTTATATGTGCACATGTATTGTAAAGAAAATTATACAGTCACTTTTACAATGCTCAAAATGTTTCTTCAATAGATATGCAGCAGAAGGCCTAGAGATTGCAACTGCAAAGACAAAATTTCCCTAACATAATTTATTTTATGCTAACAGTGCGCTGAAAAATCAAAAAAGATTTTTGCCTTTTATGTTGTCGATGTATTTCCCATATGACCATCATCCTATGTGCCTCTTTTTAAGGGCCCAAGTCTGATGCTTAAGAATTGCCTGAATAAATATCGACTGTGTGTAACTTAAAAATGACATGTAGAAAAAAATGCTCATACATTTCTAGAACTTGCGTCCCTCACACGAAGAGTGATGGAGGGAGTACTGGATGCTCCAAAATTGCAAAACAATGTGGCGAGCAAATGATATCAAGTGTACTACCTAGGCCACTCAACTTACTTTGCACCGAAAATATCAACCTCCCTACCTTGTCATATAAAGACCTTCCAGCATTCTTTTTTTTTTTTCAGATATGACTGTAGCAAATGTATAATATTTACCTTGGAAACAATGCTACCATAAATCTATTGCCTTACTTTGCTGTATTGAACTGTGTGTTTTGCCTGTATGTATTCTTTTTTCTGTGAATATTCTTTCACCTCAATTTTTGTCTTTGTGTTTTGTTTTCTGCACCACTGCTGCCAAATCTATTGATCTTTCTCACCCCTAACGCATAAGAGACTCTCTTGAGGTAATTGATTTCCTTAGAACGAAGCATGCCGATCATGAACTCAACCTGTTTTCGCTGGACATTGAGGACATGTGTTGAAAGTTGAACTCTGACTCGGAGCTCGGGAGGGCAAGAAAAAGAAAAACCGACGAGATGGCGATAAAGCTCACGTGGTACGGCGCAGTGTAAAAACATAAACAGACAGGACGAACAATAAGTATACACAAAGAGAAAAGAGACGAGCACGAGGAAAGCATGTGGATGCTCGGGTAACCTCAACGGGCTCCTGAGGGATTGAGCTTTGCCCGTGGCCTCAGGTCATGTTTACACCAGCTCGGGCGAACTTGAGCAAGACGAGATGCCTGCCGCCGCCATCAACCATCTGGGGGTGCGAAAAGCGGACCGGGAAAGAAGCGGAATCTGAAACGTCGGTCGGAGGAGAAGGAAAATGATCACGGGACGACGGGGTCTCAGGAGAGATCGAAAAGGAATGCCACGAAAGACGCCACGCAAAAGAACTGTTCTCTGTTTAACGAAGCTTGAGTTGTAGATTAGACTAATTAACAGTTTGTATTGAGTTAAACCTTGCAGTTGTCACTTAACAACATGTACTGCAACCTCGACCTCAAAATTCTTTTAAACTCTGTGTCTGAGGCGATTGAGATGCATGGGGCAACGAGGTTTCAGAACACGTCCGGAAAACCCACCGGAGGCTTTCTCAACCTCCTCCGGCTCTACCTGAGATCTCTCCTTGTCGAGTACGAGGGGGAGGACCTCATCCAGAGGATGGGAGTGTGCATTGGCTCCTGCCTTGCACCAATCCTTAGTGAGATCTTTCTCTTCTTCGTGGACCGTGTGGTGCATGAGGATCTTGCTTGCTCCGGTTCTGGATGCAGGATATTCAGGTACCTGGACAATTACCTCATCGTTCACCCATCTTCCACCTTGGATGTGTCTGTCCTGCAGGCCTTCGCTGCCAACGCTAGGAGTCTCTCCTTCACAAAAGAGAATTCTAACCAGGAAAGGCTCCAATTCCTGGATCTCCGCCTCACCCCTTCCTCCCACGGCCTACGCTGGTCCTTTCAACAGCGCTCTCAAAAACCTGTCCTTCCCTTCACTAGCCACCATTCGAAAACAGTAAAGTCTGGCATCGTCAAATCTCTTCTCTCCTCCTCCTGTAAAAAGTCCTGTCCCCACCTTATCAAGGAGAGCCTCTCGCACCAAACGGCTAGGCTTCAGGGGGCGGGCTACCCCGCGGATCTGATTGAAAACAACATCAAGAAATTGATTGTGCAGTCCGGGAGCCGCCCCTGCAATTCCCCACCCAGATCTTTTTCCTCTCGTCCTACATGCATTCCCTATGTGCACAACACATCCCATCGTTTGGGTGCGCTTGAATACAAATTCGACACCCAGGGTTTTTTTCACCCGCAAATTCAAATTGGGTGGAATGTGCAAGCACGTCAACAATCCGGAACGTCCACCCTGCTGCACTAAAAAACACGCCCAGTGCTTCCGCCTCTGTGCGCGAGAGAAAGTGTACAAGATCCTTCTATCGTGCGGAGCGGAGTACATCGGTCAAACAAGCCGATGTATCAACGACCGTCTCCGTGAACAGGCGAGAAAGATCACGACCCCGCCCGAGGATTCCGTGCATCCGGTCGTTGTCCATGCAAAAAAACTGCCCCTCTTGCAGACCCCAGTTCACTCAAACAAAAATCTGGGGGGACACAGATCTCGATTAGGAAGAGAAATAATTGAATCCGTAAGCATCAAGCCGGCGACAACAAACCTCTCCAGCCCTTCCCTTTCACTCTCGAAGAGAGATTCACTTCCTGCAAGGGTAGGGAGCCCCCAGCCCGCTCGGCACTAGAGCTTAAAGGTTTGGAAAAACAACAGCAAACAAAAACAACCCGGGAAAGCCGCCTTCAGTTCTTACTTCAACTCGCCTTCTTTTCTCGCTTCACCCACTGGTCTATCTTGCGCTTTCTCCAAGGAATTCCGAAACGCATTTCTGCTGTGACTTCCTTCACCAGAGTGTCTCAATATTGCATTCGGGCCTAATTAATCTCTAAGAGTGTGTCCCGAATCACTGAGGTTTCTTTTTTTTTTTTTTATGTTGTTTTGTCGTTCGTGCTACATTGCTTCTGTGTGGGTGGTATGTTGGGGCATGCCAGGTATCCCGAAAAGAAGCGACCGGGGACTGGCTCGTTATCTCCACTCCACCTTGTGTACGCACCATACCGAGAACCGAAGGCTTTCCGTGTGTGTATTCTTTTATTGGGCCATGCCGAATGTACCAAAGGGAAGCTTGCCGCACCCTGGTTTTGTTTACGTTAAAGCTGTTTTGCATGGGCGTCGCACCCTGAACCAAAGGTTTGTTTTGTTTGTGTTGGGCTTGTGTTCGGTCGCGCCATGCGTGTATGCCGAAGGGAAACGGTCGGGGTCCGGCTCGTTAGCGGAAAGGCCACTTTCTGTACGCTTTCAACCAAGGGTGTCGGGTGACCACGTCCCCAACCTCCCAGCGACGCTGTTGAACCTGGATGGAGCGTAAAAGTAATTTGTTTGTTTTTCTCCTGGGAAAAAAGAAAAGAAAAAAACCCGCGAAACTGAGAGTTCTGATCGGAGCTAAGAAGCTCGGTTCTGATTGGTCAAAGTGAGTGGCTTCAGAATGCTGCTAGTTCTTATATAATAGAAGAGAACTGGCAAGAAAAGAGGCACGGAATCCCGAAAGCAGTCGGAGTTGCTGCTCTCCCGTCCTGCGGTCGTGAAGACGACAGGAATTTGATCCCGCCGTGGGAACGTCATTGTCCTTCCTCGAGTTATGTTGGTTTCCTGTGTACTACCGCGTGGTCCTAGTGTTGCAGAGTGAGTATGTGAGGAAGTGCACCAGAGAAAATCGTCCGACCGACTGGACCAAGACCACGGAGGAGGCATCCACACCCCCTCTAGACCAGCGACAATCCGGCAGATAAGAATTTCATTATCACTTGTACTTCGTTGCGCCCGTTTTGAGCTTGCGGCTATGTCATGAGCGGCTCTTTGGTTTTCTGTTTATCTGCTCGCGAGCACACGTCACCTACAATTTTGGCAAGAGCTTTTTTTTTTTTTTGTTTTTTTTTTTTGTTTTGACAAAGTAGTAAATATTTTATGATTTTATCCTCTACCCTGTGGTCACCTCCTCTGCTCACTTTTAATCCAGGCGTGGCCCTAGTGCCTCTCATTCAGTTGAATTTTTTTTTTTTGTTTGCACATAAGCTGTGACTTTTGTTTTTTTTTTTTTTTTTTTTCACATCATTTCAACTAATTGACATACTGGTACACGGACGTGACATAAACTGGCATCCGCGAAAGGACCGATTGGCCTTGGTGAAGTAGCTGTGATCCGACTTAACGGTAGAAAGAGGTTAGTGCGTGACTGGAAAGCATATCTTGTGCCGTGACTTTTTTTTTAAAAAAGCTAAGTTTTTCGTTAGTGGCTGAGATGGAAGCTTCAGGTATTTTTGCCCTTGGGATGGAGCTGGGATATGAGGGAGATGAGTTGCGAGAGTTCGTTAAACAAGAGCGAGACCACGAAAGAGAAGATTGTATTCGAGAATGAGGCAAATGAGGCGAGCAGGCAAAAGAGAAAGCAGCAGAGAGAGATGCCCAAAAGAAAGAAGCGGAGAGGCAAGCTCAGGAGCAGGAGGCTCAGAGACAAGAGGAAAAAGAAATTTTAGAGTTGCAGATACGTCTCGCGGATGTGCAAAGCAGAAACCACAGTTCGGGGTACGTCTCGTGGAAGTGCAAAGTAGAAACAGGGCTGGGCAGTATCGCGATAGTATCTCAGAGATACTTTCGAGTATTTGTATTTTTGTATCGAGATACGTTTGAAAAATGTATTTGTATCTCAGCAGTGAAATACATTTACAATGTATCGCTTGTATCGCGATACTTTGCCAAACTTAGGTATCTTGTTACCTTTGTTACCCTTTTTAATATAAACTTAAAGGATAAAAACATCTGCTTTTAAAGGATAAAATCTGCTTCTCTCATAAAGCCTTCCAATCTTTCCAATTTATCAGAGCGAACGCTGTAAAGGAGTTGAGTGAAGAAAAAGTATGGCCCTGTTGTCCAATCTTGCCACACTATGGGTGACTCAGAAGCACATATAACGACCATTTGAGATGAACCCTCATGGCAAAACAGGGCTCATTTCGGGCAGATGCCTTTTGACAAGCATGATGCGCAGTGTTTACCGTTCTGTAACTATGTTGGTTTAATGTGGATGACATGTTTTTAGCGGCATTAATGATAAATGAAAAGTTTGAGGCAAGGAATAGTGCATAAATTGGCATAAAAAGAGGAGAACAAGCATAAATTACTATTCGCATTGGCCACACACTATACCCTCCCCACGTAGCACCGTTCGGGAACAAATATATTTCTATAAGCATCCGTATATGTGTTCTGGAATACTTTATCACTGCTTCTGCAGAAGTATCTCACGGATATCCCATTGCCTAAAAGACAAATGTATCTAAGTATCTGTATTTCGGCCTTAAAACACATGTACCTCAGTATTTGTGTTCCCGAATACTTCTTACAGTATCTCTGCCCAGCCCTGCGTAGAAACCACAGTTCGAAGAGCGAAGGCAACGCAGACTCACCCTCTGCCGGCGGAATGATGACCAGTCCACAACGCTGGATGGCACCTTTCGACGAGAAAAAATATGAAATTCACGCATACCTTCGCAGATTCAAACGCTTGGGAGCTGGGCAGCGCTGGCCGGCAACCAAAGGGGCACGTTGCTCACTGCCTGCCTGAGGGGAGGGGCACTGGCGGTCGTTGCCAGACTTTCAGCAACTAAGTCAGGGGAATATATTAGCATGAAAAAGGCGTTAATGAAACGATTCCGACTAACAGTGGAGGGATTTCGAGATAAATTCCGGGGGGCCGAACCGGCGAGTGGCGAATCGGGGGGACAATAGTATGCGACGAAACTCTCGAGTCTCTTGAACCGCTGGGTGGAGCTGTCGGAGACAAGCACGACTATGAGTCCGTGTGCAATCTTCTGTTGACGGAAGAGTTTGTTAAAAGCTGCCCACCAAAGTTCTCTTAGTTCATTCGGGAGAGAGCGACGAAAGACTTGGCAAGCATGGCTGGACTTGCAGACAGATTTTTAGAGGCCCAGGGCTCGAATTCGCTGGGATCAGAGACCTGAAAAAAAGGCAGACACGGAGGCTTTAAGACCTCTGGGAAAAAGAATGTCGGGGAGAGGAAGAGTGCCTCCACATTGTTTCCTCTACAATCGTACGGGTCATTTCGCTTCTGCTTGCCGTGAGAAGAGCAATAGATTCGTGTCGTGCTGGAGATGCAGTCAAACCGGGTACACCGCGAATATGTGTCAGGAGCAGCACCAAGCTTCATGCTGCGTATCAAGTGGGGTGACCGCAGAGAAAATCCCAGGACCCGTTCAAAATGGATACGTGGAACTTAAAAGTGGAGATCGACTACCCGTCGTAAATTTGATCATGGCTGCCGAAAAAGGGTATCTGACGAACGGAGTTCCAGTCCGGCCGAGCAGCGTGGGAGAGCACAGCGTCGCGGTGTTCTGCAACACTGGATGCAACACCGTTGTAGTCCAAAAGGACTTGGTCGCCGAGGACAACTTTACGGGCAATTCCAAGGCAGCCTATTTGGTTGACGGAACCGTCAAGATGCCCCCATAGGAAAGATTATTGATCCAAACACCCTTTTACGGCGGGGACGTAACTGCTGTGTGTATGGAAAGTCCACTCTACGATGTCATTCTCGGTAATGTCCCTGGGGCCCGAGCTGCGGGGAACCCTGATCTGTCATGGAACCACGTTGTTGACAATACGGGCAGAGCTCAAGTGGATGACGTAAATGCGTAACCGACCAAGCCCTAAGCGCTGCGGCTGAAACAAGGCAGCAACGCAAGGATGCTGCTCACGCAAGAAGTTCAACTTGAAGCCAACTATGTGTTCCTGAAATCAAAGGCAAAGCAGTGTCCCCCGTACAAGTAAAGGAAGAACAAAAAATGGACGGAAGCTTAATCACTTGTTTCCAGCAGGAGGGAACGATGATCCCCACGAAGAAGCGAAAACACTCTAGTGAGTTTGTTGTCAAAGCTGAAGTGCTCTATCGGATCTACCGCCAGGGTCCGGGAAGGGAAACGCACCAGCTTGTAGTACAGACCAAGTTTTAGAGCGCTGTCTTGCGAATGGCGCATGACACCATCCTCGCTGGCCATCAGGTAGTCCAGAAAACTTTGCATAGGATTCTTCAAGAATTCTACTAGCCCAGAGTCAGAGCAGCTGTCAAAAGCTTTGTGAAGTCATGTGATCAATGTTAGCGAACCACTCCGAAGGGAAAGGTGGTGAGGATGCGACTTGGGAAGATGCCTCGGATTGAGACACCCTTCCAACGGGTCGCTATAGACATTGTGGGACCCTTGACTCCGACCACAAAACGGGGCAACAAATATATCCCGCCGAGAATTTAAAAAAAAAAAAAAAAAATTCAAATACAGGTCACTTTTTTTTTAAAAAACAGAGGAAAGTTTGGGCAAAAGAAAGAAACAAACCTTTACATACAGCCCTCTCAGCTAAATCACAGCGCAATGCCAAAAACTTAATCATTGTCAGACCTTCCAAACATGTCACCGCCGTCGGAAGCTTCGTCAGCTCACAAATTCACAACAATACCTCACTGACACCGTTGCAAAATTACAACAACCAATAAAAGGAAGCGGAGACGGGCGAAGCAACAAAAGACAAAATACAAAGCCGCAAGAAAATCGCCTTGAGCAACAAAAACGAAAGTAACCTCTGTAGTCTTTTGTTGTGCACATCCACACCCCCGGACCAGCGACAATCCAGCAGATAAAACTTTCATTATCACTTGTACTTTGTTGCGTCCGTTTTGAGTCTGTGGCTATGTATTGAGTGGCTCTTTCGTTTTCTGTTTGTCTGCCTGCAAGCGCATGTCGTCTAACGTTTTGGCAAGAGCTGCTTTGTTGTTGTTGTTGTTTGGAGAAAGTAATAAATATCTTGTGATTATATCCTCCACCCTGTGCTCACTATTACACCAGGCATGGCCCTAGCACCTTTCAACTGGTCGAACAATATATTTTTTTTTGTTGATGCTTGCATGTGAGCTGTGATTTTTGTCTTTTTCACGTTATTTCAACTAATTGAGATTGTGACAGAGGGAGCATATTTCCCATTGTGGCACTGCTCTTACTGATGCGATGCCACCACAACATTCCATGAAACGTACACAAACATTCGCCAGGTAGTTTTTGGTTAATGTTTAATGTAGTTTAAATTGTGTTTTCTTGCATTTTCCATGTAACATTGGTGTTTCTTAACTCCTACTGCAACCCGCTTTATGTTGAAGCAACGAGATGAGCTCCGGAGTTTAGTTTCCATAGTGCTAGTCTTAGAGACACCATTAGAAAAAACTCTTTTAGTGTCATTTTATTGGGGCATTTTACCCCACAACATCTGGTCAAGTCACGGACAAAACAAAGGTTGGGTTAGCCAGATCCTCGGCATTTCAAAGCTGTTTTGGGGCAAAATGTTCACTGCCGTCCTTCCAGAATCTCGAAATGTCGCTGGAATAATTCCTCTCGCAAAGAAAACAGTTGGCCTATATTTTTTACAGCAGTGGTTGGCGCAGATTTTTTTTACCTACGACAGAGGTGGGGCTGGAACCGGCGACAGCCTCTAGAAATCGCCTACCTCGTTGGATGGACCACAGCAGCTTGAGTGAGTCTGCCGTCACATGCTTTTCCCCTTGCTGGACTCTCCTCAGCATGCCAAGCACCCAATGCTTTCCGGCGGAAGTCCATGACACGAAGCAGTCCGGCTCATGATTCCAAGAATGCAGCTTCTTTGACTCTGCACGATTCTGTAAGAGGCCAGTGAAAAGAGTGAATAAAATGCACCGTGCACCAAGAAACATTGCTTGCAAAAACAAGAACAATGCAAACCAGACATGCTGACAACAAAAGTGGCTAGGGCCACATCTCTTTACAAAAACATCGCTTCTGCAACAAGACCAAATGCAAATGAATGTCGAGTCCAAGGACATGTAACCCTGATAAAGAAGTGGATATATGGAAGGAAGAGTGCAAAGCTTCAGGGAATTTCCGTCGGTCTCTTTCGTCATTCATTTACTTACCATACTCAAAAACAAATTTAGGACATGAATATAGCCTACACAGAGTGTGAGTCTTACTCCTGCTGAAATATTAAAAGATGTGACTCAGAGACTTCTTTTTTAATCTTTGCTTTAAAATAATTTAACTTTAGCTACTTATGAAGATTTCTTTTCTTTTCAAAACAATCATTAGTTTTAATGTAGCTTTCATAGATTAACTCATGTTTACAAACAAACCGAAGCGCCCCTAGTGGATGCCACCAGCACCGCGCATGCACAATGGAGTGTGGACAAAAAGTTTGCCGTCACCCATAAACAAACCATTGAAATGCGATGTTGTCAGCATCGGTGTGTGTCCCCATGATCTTTTTTGCGTGGGAATTGTTTATTCTATGTCTTCCTGGCAATGTCTGACTCCTTGAGCTGCCTCAGCGAAATTACCGAGGCTCTTTACACCGCAAAACTTTGCGTGAATGATGCGCCGATTTATTCCACATGGATGCCGCGCAATGGACGCTAAAGCCTGATTTGCATGATGAGATTCCTCTCGCAGTTTTCAGTCGCGACATCGCTCGGGCTGCAAAAGCGTGAACCGTAGCTGAGATGGTCGACGTCAGTACTGAAAATCGCATGCAGAATCGGCCAAAGTGAGTCAGGCATAACAAGTCGGTGATGGCCAATGGTAACAATAATCAACATCTCCCGGGTACCTACTGTTTACACCGATTCTGCTTACCTAACCAACATACAAAATTAGATGTCTTTCGAGGCCTGCACTCACTTCTTATCGCAATAACCGGGCCAGCGCTTGGTCTACGGGCTGGTGTCGTATGAAAGGGCAGACGACAGGCAGAAATGTTTGAAAGAGCAGACAACAGTTCAAACAATCAGGTGGCCGTTTGAATCCGACGGCATCTTATTTTTCCTTTTCACGGCACATATCCACATTCTCGGGCAAACCGAGCACATAAAAACTGACCTTGAAACCTTTCTCGAAGCTTTTAGTACATTCCCAGTCGCAGCGTTTTGACGAAAAGGCAGGTTTTTGTCTGATTTCTTTCAAAACAACGCAGGAATGCAAAACCCACATGGTGACTTTTGCCCAAAGCCGTAGACCGGAAGTGCGCTCGATGCGCCGCCACCATGCTGTGATGTAACAGAGTTGAGTTTGTGTATAGATTTGTACTCAGATGCACAAACAACTACTGTATTTTCCCGGCTATAGTCCGTGGACTATATATGCTTAAAAGTTGAACTTTCTGGCTGTGCGGACTATCTACATGTGCGGACTATAACGGAATTTCGTTTTTCAATATTGTTCATTGTGACGAGACGCAACGGAATATGTGAATGAAAAAGTATGTTAGTGATGATTTATGTATAGACCTTTTCTGCAAGTGCGCCGCCATCTTGAATTGACGTCACTTCCAGTATGAATTGACGTCACTTCCAGTATTTTGCCTTTGCCACACCAATAGAAGGCATTTAGGATATAGGCGTAACCGTCACTCGTTTTGCCTCCCCTTTGTTTCTTACTATTTGCAGGTTGAAACGTAGGATTATATTTTCATCACCGATACCGGATACACCTATTAGGTGGCTGGGGACGAGAGTACACAGAAAAGGTCTATAATATAAGCTTTGTGAGCTAAGGAAGCGGACAGCTGTCAAGGTGTGCCGTGTATGAGAAGACTTTACTGTCAACTAAGAACCAGGTGCAGACTATCTAAGCAAAAACTTATGTTTTCAGTCTAAGCTGGCCCCTCCAGGCTATACACCGGGTGCGGACTAAAGCCCAGAAAATATGGTACATAAAAAGATTTTTTTTTTGTGGACAGATTTATGATGCAATAGCTCATTTTGCTTCTTATGAAGTATAGGGTGCTATTCAAGAGCAAAAAGCGGTGAAAATTTCTATAATCTAGCAGAGGAAAATAAAAATGCCATATGCCTCCTTTTAAGAAGCCCAGTGTCTATTCTCCCGGCAGACGGAAGAATAATTCCCCAAAATTCTAGCGGCAGTCACCCCCCATTGGCTGTCTGAAATCATGTGACTACTGCCGGTAGAATAATTACTTTCTTATTCTCCCAAAGTTTCGTGGAAACACGTTTTATGGACAACTTTTCGTGGTTACAAGTTTCCTGAAAACACATTTCGTCGGCACTCGTAACGCGAATTGCATGCTGTAGGGACTTTTTGTCACGCGTCTACCACTGGACCATGTGTAAACCCACCCGTTTGTGCCGCTTGACGGCAGCAGTCTGCGGCGGCTTATTACGATGCTAAACTCTCTGGCCAACCCATACACCCGGCGGTTTGCTGCATCAGTCTGAAGCGGCTCATTACCGAAAAAACCTAATCTGAGCTGTCGATGGGCCAATGGGAGGTGACTGCTAGTAGATTTTCAAGGACGTAATTCTCCTGGCTGCCGAAATAATAGACACTACCCAATTAAAATACTGCAATTTTAAATCAGGGGTGGAACTCATGAAATGTATTTGGGAGCAGCCACGGGAGCAGCTGAAACCGCTGTTTTGGAGCAGGTTGGGAGCAGCTAAAACTACATTCTGGAGCAGGCTAGGAGCAGCTCAGATCAGTTTTCACTGCACTTCAGCTTGTGTCTTAGACGAGCACGGGAGCAATTTCAATTGTGCTTAGCAGCACAGATGAACATGAGTGGTTAGGGACCTAGGTAATGGGATAACAGTGTAACAGATGCCAAAACTTGAAACTTTGTAAGCCTTAATGAGAATCAAAAAGCAAGTACCGTATGTTTCTGAAGATGGTGTCCTTGATATTTCCTGAGTGGCTTTCAGCTGCTCAAAATGCAAACCAGCACTGCTTATCGCCCAACCCCCACGTGCTCGACAGAGTAATTATACGTGCGAACCACGTGACGTGCGTAAGCAACGGACGTGCAGTTGCGTGGAGGAACAGGGCAACACATTTCGAGTTTATCCCATTGTGCAACTCAATATCGAAGCAGTAGACTACGATTAACGGAGTTATCGTATTCAAAGCGATTAGCGGGAGCAAGGTTAAAGTACGCCGAGCGGATCTACCGCTCGCGTGACAGCAGCTGGCAGGCAAGGTTCCGGATCGGACCGCGTTTCAGTTCTATCAAATCGCAATTATCTTGCGGGAATGCTGTTTCAACTTCTAACGATGAAGTACTAAAAGGAGTATTTTGCTCATTTGTTTTCAATTGGCTGACGTCCGGATCCCGGGCTGCAGAGCCTCAGGCAATCTGACGCTCAACGACTCGACCTCACCTCGGTCGACTTGCTTAACAGCTTATGGTTGAAGAATAACAGTCCAGTCGCAGGTGTAGCGATTCGAATCCGATCCCCGAGTTTTTTCGCGCGCTTCCGACTCGGGATACACAGGGAGAATAAACAGAACAAAGGATTGCAAGGCCGACTAAGCTAAACGGGCTAATTGTTGCCAATCGAGTCGATAGGAACCGAAACCAAGACAAAATACTTTTTTGTTTTTGGCGCACGTTGTGCGATTTGGTGCATAATGGCGCAAGGTATTGGCTGTGGCGCAGTTTCCGTGAAATGGCGCAGGATGGCGCAGACAAATGCGTCTGGCGCAAAATGGCGCAAATGGCGCAGCCGTTCCACCCCTGTAAATAGATACCGGCCCCAAATCCCCCAAAATAATACATCAAAAGTTTCATTATAAAGAGAAGCCTCCCAAGTACCGATAACCAAGTGCACAACGTCAGAAGACAACCTCAAGTTCCTAAAGTTGCAAAACGAGAAAAGTGCATTTGAAAGTTCAAAGACGTATACTCTTCAAAAGTCAGCTGGAATTACATGAAATTAGGACATAACATATATAAGGTGTCCAGGAATCATCCAGTTGAGTCACTAAAACAGTTCCTCCATGTAAAACTGACTTCTCTGGCCCCTCTTGCACCATGTGCCATCAAACAGCATTACATTAGCTGGTCCTCCAACGTCCCCATTTCACTCTTCACGGGGTTTTGGCTGGCAGTTCTTGTGGCAGTAGCATAACCTTTCTTGCCAGTGAAGGTATTGTCGTGCATTGGTGTTAGCAAGCTGAGAATCGTACTGAAGTGCACAAGTTTGCGGCTTTGAAGTCGACAGATGAAAAAATTCTTGCAAGCTCCCACTGTAATAGTTTTGCTTTGCAGCTATGTCTCCATTTCACATGGCACATTTCAACACTAACGTCAAAAAAAAGAACCCACTCGAGGCACTCGCTCTTCTCTAAGAGTAACCTGAAGGATGACAAAACTTCCTTGCGGTTCCTAACCGCACTCGCTGGAAGCGGGGCAGACTGCATCGCTCAGAAGTATTGCCAGTGCACCGATGTTGGATATCACTAAACTCGCAGAGCCATATGTTCTGTAAACATTTTCAAAGAATGCAATCTTCTTTCCAAAGCACTAACACACGTGAACAGAGAGCCGATTGTGTCGGAATGGTCACCATTGTCGTGATGTGTCTCGAACTGTTGTGTGCAGAGAGTTGGAGCAGCTATTTTTCAGGCAGTTTGTAGGTCGAGTTGGATAGTTTTGATGCTAATCTGTCTTGCGCTTCAGCATGTTACGGTAAACGTCCCTTCGCTGGCATTCTCCAGATGCTTGTGCATCGCCTTTTGACACCGGATATCGCCTGGCGCCCGCCGGCCTTTTTCTTTGGAACTCGGACGAAAAAAATGACGGAAGTAAATAGTTGGTAGTCCAGCGATCACTTGTCTTTACTCCTTTCTCCCTAATTTCGTAGTTCAGCTGGTTTAACCGTTGTAATATGTACTACCAACTAGCTCAGCTTCTACCCCCTGTTAAAACATTGACGACGGGGACGGAAATGTTTCATCCCTTCATGTATTTGTATAAAAAAAACAATTGCTGACAATTTGTTTTTTCTGGGGGGTTGCTGTGTTGGGTATTTGCAAAATATCCACGTCCTAGTTCTAAGTTACGATGATCAGAAAATTTGGCACGCTGATATTTGCAGCGCAGTTGCAGTAGTTGCACCATCATTACAGATAAAATAGTTACTTGAGAAGCCGGCCTCCCTGCACACCCTTCAATAAGTGCTAGGAATCCCCCTCCTCAAAAAAAAAAATTGGTGTATTTTTTACATTGTAAAAATAAACTATGCACCACCAAACGCTCATTCTTCGCCCAAATGTACCGGTAGCGGTTCAAACCAGCTGCCGAGTCAAATGTTATAAGTAGGCTGTATACTTTCCGGTTTTAACTGAAAAACACCGATAAACATCCGGCAGTGTCGAAAATACAAAATCGGTTAAAACCGAAAAACACTTTTTTTTTTCCTATTTTCAAATAAGCGCTGTTTTTGTTTTTAACGAAAAATTCATGTATATTTCCCAGTTTTAACTGAAAAACACCGGTAAACATCCGCCGGTGACAGAAATAAAAAATCATTCAAAACAATATAACAACGGCTTCTAAATATTTTTTCCCTACCAATGTTGCTTTTTTTTACTAAAAAAGTCCTACGCAAACTTCCCTCAAACATATTATGTTACCCAAAATCATGCACTTTGCCTGTTTTCTTTTGTGAGCTACGTGGTCTTGGACTTTTGGAGGACAGTAGCTTTGTTCCACTGTTTTCCAAGGTCAGTGGTCCTCCTAAGCACCGACCTTAAAGATCCTTATCAGTGGCCCGATAGGCCAGTCCCAGTTGGCCAGTACTGTCCCAAGCCAACTTGGACGTTTTCTGGCTTCTCGTGTTCAACGCAAATGTTCAGCGGGCATTCTCGATATTAGAGAGTTTTAGTAGATCGTTCCGATGACTCTGATAACGATACCCAATACTCTGACGCCGCCTTTGCGCTTGAATCGTATCGTTATCGGGTATCACTATCGGGGGTATCAAAGGTATCGAAAGGACTTACTAAAACTTTCTATTGCAGTCGTCAACAGGAAAAGAGTCACTCCCTCCTGTTGTTGACGCACAATTTCCTAGGCACGAGCCTAGGAATGTATGCACGCATATGCTACAATAATCAAGTGTGAGATTGTGTAAAATATCTAAAAAGTATTTGAACTGTTTTTAGTCTTCAGCGGTCGTTTACATTCGCAATTTTTTCTCCGATAATCACCACTTTTAGCGTCTGCACGAGAGAATTCACCGAAAGGCACCGGCATATAAAAAATAAATAAACACCGATAAACATCGGCCGATTTCTGTCAAATAAACACCGGAAAGTATACGCCCTAGTTATAAGTGATTTTCTGAAAATTGCAACCAGAAAATGGGCCCATTTTTGCCCGTTTTCGGTAACTGGCGCCATAGAGTTCCACGTAGTCGAAAGCTCCGTCGGCCGCCACTTACCCATTGGAGATTTCAGTACATCACTCATAACTTTCGAATGAGGTTAGTGCTGAAACCTTCCCATCTGATTCGGACCTCTAGCGGAACATTTGGGTGGAGAATGAGTGTTCAGTGAGACATATTTCATTTTTGCTAATATGTAGTGCATTTTTGTAATAAAAAAAAAAACACTGTACATTTTATTTTTCGGGGGTTTGGGGGATTTTTTGCACATTAACTTTTGCACAGTAAAGACTGAATTCTGAAAGCAACACTTTATTGTTTCACTGAAAATATTTCGGCACCGTACTCAATGTGATAGTGATATTTAATTCCGCTCCGGAGAGCCGCGGCGCCGCAGAAATGCAAGTCGCCCATACCGCGAAGGTACGAAATCACAAATACTGTGGTTGTGCTTCTCGAAAAAATACGTGGACAGGAAGGTATACTCGACGTTTCGGATGGAAGCCCTTCTTTAAGTGATAGACGCGGTGTCGCGTCCAACGATGATGAAATAATATTGTACAATTAAAATAAAAATAAAATAAAATCTAAACTGACAAAGGCTACAAGAAGCATGAGCTCATCCGTTCGCGCCAGAGCTCAACGCAGCGAGCACTCATACTGCGGGAATGCCTTTCAAACCCATGAGCTCGCGTTCACGGACTTTGTTAACCGACTCACTCGTGCAGCACAGGCGAAATGAGGCGGGAGAAGAAAAATGCGTGCAATCTCGTACCTTCCCATTTCTCGGCAGCGTCCCGTGTCATCATTTCAAAAGGGTCCGGACCATGAATGGACCGTGACGATGCTGCACCGTACTACAAACGTAAACTCACTTACAAACGCGATTTAAAAGTTTCGAAAACACCAATGCGCCGCCACCCGCCAGCCGCCATGTCTACTCTGTGAGCAGCCGTGTGTAGAGAAAATAATGCAAGTGAAGCCTTCGAACTGGGCGGTGGCTTGCGCCGCCTAGCGGGGTAAGTTGGTGGGTATTTGCGGGCAGAAATCTAAACCGAAACTTCGATTGCGAACCTTTATTTTTGGGACGATTCTCGATTGAGGTTTTTGTTCGCAATTTTTAACGACCTTACAGGCATTGGTAAAAACAAATATATAGAAGTACCTAATTATGTTTCACATCGTAAAGATCATTCAAGAAATATCGTAAGAGAACATTTTTGTCGGACAGATTATAAGAAATTTTTGTTTGTTCCCCACACAATATTGTTAGTCTGTTGGTAGTTATTTATGTGTATGTTCGTTACTGATATCCGCAAATTGCAGTATCGTTTTGTTTGTTTTGTTTTTTTTTACATACCGGCTAGCTCTACCTGGCATTGCAGGCTTTTATTTATTTATTTATTTATTTATTTATAGATAAATAAAAGAAACTTCTTAGAATGGATGCTTGGGCGAGTTGGATATACATGTTGCAGGAGAAGCGCTAAAGTAGACTCACTCACCCTCACATTCACACTCACACTCACACCAGAAAAACGGTCACTCACGTCGCGCTGACTTTCAACTCAAATTGTATTTTCGTCTCCTTTTGTTTTTCTTTTACCCGTGTGAAAATTTGTCACCTCACTTCTTTCTCTTCTGTACAAAACCATTAGCAATGTCTATCGCACATTACCTTCGAGAATCTAGATATAACAATTCTTTTTCCGTAAGCGTTATGGATGGACTACTAACACAGGTGTCACTCCTTTTTATGATGTTAGCTGCCTCTATTATCTCACGTGTTAACTGATGATGGTTCCTTCCGATTATGGTGCTATTTTTGAAGTCCGCGGCGCACCCACAGTCACGGCAGTGAATGCCCAAAAGTCCTGAGTTAGCTAATCGGGTGTTGTTGTTGTGCTCCCTTAATCTGTCATTAATACATCTTCCAGTTTGTCCTATGTACTGTTTGCCGCATGATAGAGGAAAGGAATAAATCACTCCTTCTGAGCAAGGTATGTATGGGGTTCTGTGCTTTTTAGTGCAGACGGTATTAGTTTTTGGTGTGGCGTTAACTTTTTTACATAGGCCTGATAGTTTGATGGGGGCGGAAAAGACTACATCGATATTTGCGCGATTCCCAATCTTCTTCAGGTTATGAAAAATGTTATGAATGTAGGGGATGACTACCGGTCTCTGGTTACTGATTCTTTCGCGTGGCTTGCGGGATGTGATTTGACCTTTTCTAATCTGTTTAAGGATACTTTCGGCGACTGAAGTTAATATATGTGTAGGATATCCCGCACTTAGTAACCTAGATACTTGTCCTGTGAAGCTTGTTAGGCCTGAATGCGGGCAGGACTTTAAAATGGAGTTTTTGAAGCACTGATTAACTATGCCTCTCTTTACCAATTTGGAATGCGCCGAATTATAATTGAGGAGTGGTTTTTTCCCTCTTGGCTCATACGACCAACAGACATGACGGGGCTGAAGAGACAATCTTAGGTCCAGAAATCTTAAGGATCCTAGCTCTGGAAGCTCGTGCGTAATCTCCAAAGCTTTTAAGCATGTTTTAAACTTGACGAGCACACTGGGCGCATGAATCGGGAGGTCTTTTTCGTTGGTGTCCAGGAGTATCAAATAGTCATCAACGTAGCGGAACACCTTCACAACAGTTGAGGAATCTAAGCTCTTTTGTAGCAGTTTGTCGTGGTGTGCTAGGAATAAATCACTGAGAATTGGCGCTATGCAGGATCCAATGCAAACTCTCTTTTTTTGAAGGTCTGTGTTACCGTTCCAAGACACGAAGGTAGACCTGAGGTAAAACCTGAGCAAATCAAGAAAGTTGCTTTGGGAAAGTCCTGAGGTATTCTGGAAAGCTATGGCACCATACGAGTCAATGCTGTCTTCAATGCACTCTAACAGACGTACCTGAGGTAAAGCATAGTATAGATCTTTGATGTCAATTGAGAAGGCCTGGTATTGGTTGGCACTGCATGTGTTCTTGTAGAAAGCTGATGACCTCATATGAGTTTCTTACCAAAAAGGGGTCATCAACTGTTAATAAATTAAGTCTTTTTTGTAAAAATATAGCCAAAGAGTAAGGCACTAGCCTTACTAGAGACAGTAACCCAAAAAATCGGCACCTGAGCTCCTGTCTCTAGTAAGGCAAATGTCAAGAAGGGCTTCCTTATCTGAGTGTGATAGATGTACTTCAGAGGGCGTAGACATTTTATCACGATATAAACCTTCTATAAGACATCTGCCAATCAAAAAGGTTGAAAATTTCTTGAAGGAGAATTCCTTAACCTTAATACCAGCAGACAAAGAAGGCGGTTTTGTTGTCATGCCCAAAGAGGAGTTCGGGGCAAAAGCCCTTTTAGCAATCGAATCTGTGTTCCAACGTCACGACGGCATCTCATTAGCAAAAGTAAAATGTGAAGCTAAAAGGCTCCTTCAGGACCTAAATATAACAGAGCCTTGCCCTTCTTTTGAAAAAAGCAAACACCTTAGTTTAGAAATATTTTTCAGCGCCAAGACGCAGAAGGTTGAGTGTCCCTTGCGAGTTATTGTGTCAGAAAGAGACACCTGGCAAAAATCTTTGGCTATATTTTTACAAAAAAGACTTAATTTATTAACAGTTGATGACCCCTTGTAGTCTTTTCCGCCCCCATCAAACTATCAGGCCTATGTAAAAAAGTTAACGCCACACCAAAAACTAATACCGTCTGCACTAAAAAGCACAGAACCCCATACATACCTTGCTCAGAAGGAGTGATTTATTCCTTTCTTCTATCATGCGGCAAACAGTACATAGGACAAACTGGAAGATGTATTAATGACAGATTAAGGGAGCACAACAACAACACCCGATTAGCTAACTCAGGACTTTTGGGCATTCACTGCCGTGACTGTGGGTGCGCCGCGGACTTCAAAAATAGCACCATAATCGGAAGGAACCATCATCAGTTAACACGTGAGATAATAGAGGCAGCTAACATCATAAAAAGGAGTGACACCTGTGTTAGTAGTCCATCCATAACGCTTACGGAAAAAGAATTGTTATATCTAGATTCTCGAAGGTAATGTGCGATAGACATTGCTAATGGTTTTGTACAGAAGAGAAAGAAGTGAGGTGACAAATTTTCACACGGGTGAAAGAAAAACAAAAGAAGACGAAAATACAATTTGAGTTGAAAGTCAGCGCGACGTGAGTGACCGTTTTTCTGGTGTGGGTGTGAGTGTGAATGTGAGGGTGAGTGAGTCTACTTTAGCGCTTCTCCTGCAACGAAATAAAAGAACGGCAGGACGCGTCAATCAAACGCCCAGCCTCCAGCACGTGGTACGTGTCTTCCACCATGCTTCCACTATGCTTTGTATGCTCGCGCGCGTGGCTCGAGGTGCCATATTTCGGTGGCGCCCTCTTATTATAACTTCCATCCGTGACGGTCCACCATCGGAATTTGCCAAAATACGTTGAGATTTGTCTCGCCGTGATATACGAGTTGTGATCCTGGTCACTTATCGTCAGTTGCAAACGAATCGGCATTAGTAGACCTTTCCGGAAAGTCCCAGGAGACCTTGCAGATTCGCCCGTCACCTGTCGGACGTGGCGCCAAGACTTCCTCCCGACGCCATCTTTGAGGCGACTGACATGCAAAGCGCGCTGTCCATTTGCGGCGTGCGAAAGCTGCGCGCAGCGACCGCGCCACTGCTCGCTACGTATTCAACGAAGAAATAAAATTGAGAACAACCGATGTAAAGATTCGGATCGGATTGTTTTTCTTTTCCAGTTAGCGGTATTTTAGACAACGTTTGAATAGCCGTAGCGCTTTCCTGTACTATTCATGCCTCTAAAAAGAGCACCCGCGCGTTAGTGTTGTGTGCTTTTACACGGCTCCTAAACTTTCTTTTTTTAATATATGACACTTTCCACAATGACATGAAGGGTAAAATCAGCGAGCTTATATTATTTTATTTTATTTTTTGGGAGCTTGATGTTGACTAGCATCGTAGCTTCGCTCGCGCAGGGCAACAGCGAGGTCCAGTCAACAATGACATGAAGGGCTCATGATATTTGAATGTAACATCAGCGAGCTTATATTATTTTATTTTTTGGGAGCTTGATGTTGACTAGCATCGTAGCTTCGCTCGCGCAGGGCAACAGCGAGGTCCAGTCAACAATGACATGAAGGGCTCATGATATTTGAATGTAACATCAGCGAGCTTATATTATTTTATTTTTTGGGAGCTTGATGTTGACTAGCATCGTAGCTTCGCTCGCGCAGGGCAACAGCGAGGTCCAGTCAACAATGACATGAAGGGCTCATGATATTTGAATGTAACATCAGCGAGCTTATATTATTTTATTTTTTGGGAGCTTGATGTTGACTAGCATCGTAGCTTCGCTCGCGCAGGGCAACAGCGAGGTCCAGTCAACAATGACATGAAGGGCTCATGATATTTGAATGTAACATCAGCGAGCTTATATTATTTTATTTTTTGGGAGCTTGATGTTGACTAGCATCGTAGCTTCGCTCGCGCAGGGCAACAGCGAGGTCCAGTCAACAATGACATGAAGGGCTCATGATATTTGAATGTAACATCAGCGAGCTTATATTATTTTATTTTTTGGGAGCTTGATGTTGACTAGCATCGTAGCTTCGCTCGCGCAGGGCAACAGCGAGGTCCAGTCAACAATGACATGAAGGGCTCATGATATTTGAATGTAACATCAGCGAGCTTATATTATTTTATTTTTTGGGAGCTTGATGTTGACTAGCATCGTAGCTTCGCTCGCGCAGGGCAACAGCGAGGTCCAGTCAACAATGACATGAAGGGCTCATGATATTTGAATGTAACATCAGCGAGCTTATATTATTTTATTTTTTGGGAGCTTGATGTTGACTAGCATCGTAGCTTCGCTCGCGCAGGGCAACAGCGAGGTCCAGTCAACAATGA